CTGGCCACTGGGTCTCTTCTTATCCTGTGCGGCTGCACTCCAGCAGGGGGGTATGCGACGGAGTGGCGGCGGCTGGGCTCCCCTTCTCTTGTCCGGTGGGCCGGCCACTGGGTCTCTTCATATCCAGTGCGGTGGCACTCCAGCAAGGGGAGGGAGCGGCAGCAGTGGCGGCGCAGAGCTCAGGTCGGGTGAAGGCAGGATGAGGCGAGAAAAGGGGAACGGTGGTTCGTGGGTAATGATACGTACGGGGTTAGGCTTTTCCTGGTTTCCCCGTGTCCGATCAGTATCTGGAGTATCCCAGACGTATCTGAATTAGTTTAATTATTTGGAAAAAAATATCGGCGGATACGTACTTTGATATGTTTCAGCGGGTATCCGGACGTATCTAACCCCTGACACAGCAGTTTGCTGCCATCTCCGAGTAACCTAGTGTATTGTTTATGTTAATCTGATCCCTGGATTCTGAAAAGTACCGATATATTTTTTAATGTGTCTAGTTATCTACTGCTGGAGGCCGGCTTATTATTTCAAGCGATGGTGTTTGGGATGCTTTGACTGCAGAACAGGCTCTGAACTGTTCAAGAGGACTTCCTCCTGAAGCTGCAGCCGAGCAAATTGTTAAAGTACACCCCTCCTCTCTCTCTAACCCTGACTCTTTCATGATGCTCTTCTTTACACATTCAAATATTTTTCAGGACGCAGTGCACTCAAAGGGACTGAGGGATGACACCACTTGTATAGTCGTTGACCTAGTACCAGAAAAAGGCAACCCAGCTATGTCAGCTCCTAAAAAGCAACCAGGAATGGGTGTTTTCAAAAATATGTTTCGCAAGAAAACATCTTCCGACTCATCATCCCATGCAGATAGAGAATATATGGATCCAGACGTTGTAGAAGAGATATTTGAGGATGAATGTGCATTGCTCTCTAGACGGTTGGTTCTATAATTCTATTTTCGATCATCAAAAGAGCAAATGGTCATGAAGTTCAGTTATGATTATATAATCGTGTTGAAGGTTTCCAACGCATCATCAACCATAATAGATTCTTACTGAAAGAAAAATGAGAAAGTCGATTAATAAATTCTTTTGCATTCTTACTTCTTGTTCTCTAGAAGTTTGCACATTCATTTTCCATTTTGACGACCAACAGTGTTAGCTTAATCAATAACCTTCTCACGGGCCTAGAATAAACTTACGGATGGTTTCTCGCTACAAAATGAAAAACAACTTGAGGACACGTACCATCCTTTTGGATTCTGGCTGAAGTAATTTATAAAGATACACACCATGAGGAAAGTTAGATGAAGTTAAAGTGCAAACATATAGAGCACATAAACTCATTCAAACAGCATAACATTGTCATGTTTGAAGTATTTGGATCTGACCTTCCGTTCTATTGCATGCAAAACCCTCAAAATATTTTGTTCATTCACATTATCTTCCTATCTGCTGCTGAGCGCAACCTTGTTTGGTTGATATTCTGAATTCCTTCAGTTTGCACCAAGACCTGTGCATATGGCTCAAATTTCATTTTTTAACCGCAGGCTGGATTCTGAATACCCTGTTCGAAATATGTTCAAACTCTTTATATGTGCTATTTGTCAAGTAGAGTTAAAGCCAAATCAAGGGATATCTGTACATGAAGATTCATCACAACCTGGGAACTTGCGTCGATGGGATGGTCCGTTCCTTTGCCAAAGCTGTCAGGAAAAAAAAGAAGCCATGGAGGGAAAGCGCCGTTCACGAGGTATTGTTTGCAGAGCTGTTTATATACTACTCCCTCCGTCCCAAAATAAGTGTCGCTGATTTAGTACAACTTTGTACTAAATCGGCGACACTTATTTTGGGATGGATACTCCCTCTGTTCCACAATGTAGTGCATGTTTGATTTTTAGAAAGTCAAACAAGTCTACATTTGACCAAGATTGTAGGGAAAATATCAACATCTAAAAGCCAAAACTAGAATCATTAGATTCATCATGAAGTCTGTTTTCATATTTTAAATATTTACTATTTTAAATGCTGATAGTTTATTCTATAAACTTGGTCAAACGTAGACATGTTTGAGTTTCTAAAAACCAAATATGCACTACATTGTGGAATGGAGGGAGTATGAAGTACATAAACTTTTTCCTTATGTATTGTTAACTTGCTACAGATTCGTCATCGAGAAATAGCGGGTCCAGTGAATAGTCGCCAAGGTTAAAGTTGTCTTGCTTTTAAAAAAGGGTTATGATACCAGAGAGCTACTGACCTCACAATGCCTAAGCCTCCAAGAGACAATCATTCTGCGGCATTTCACGTTGTTTTGGCACTTCCGTGATCACATGGACTGGTTGGGGTATTTGATCTGAGATTGAAATATGAATTGCCATGAAGCAGGTGGTTACTGTTCAATAGCCTATTATGCCATTTGAAGTGGCAAGCATATACCTTGTTTTTAATTAAAGGGACAAGCTTTTTGCTCGACAGTTTCACACAGATCATTTGACCTTGGTGGCAAATACAGGCCCAAAGATCATTGATTGAGAACGGCATGCCATGTTGACATATCTATTCTTAGGTCAAACTATAGTGTGAATTACTGATCACATATAGAGCTCCGGTCAGAAGGGCTTTGTAATTCTCAATATGAGTAGGTGAGTTTCTTCTGACCGACCTTGACTTGTGGTCGAGAAATACTCAACCCTTGTTGAAGTTCAGCTTTTCCTAACTCTTCTGTAATTAATTAGCATATAAATAAATTCTTTCAAACAACTGTGGCTTGATTGATCAGCAGGACATTTCTGTGCTTGTTTACAATGTACATAATCTTGCTAACAAAGCTTATTTGTTTCTCCATTGTGTCCTACCTCCTGTGCTTGTGGCTGCTGTTAGTAAATCTCAGTTTATCTGGAGGCGTACGCAGTCTTGCTAACAAATTCATTATCCGGAGCCTGGAAGTGTACGGAGTCTCTGGGCAATTGTTTGAGTTATTGCAGTTTGCGCAAAATTAAAATGAACAAACTGATTACAGCAGAATATTTGTGACACGAAGATGCAGCCATCATTCGGAACAACGCATGATCCCACCATAGGATGATCATATGTTTGCTGAACGATTGCGTCTCCCGCAAAAAAGAGAAAACAGCCCACATGCCGGCCCGGGTGCACCTGTCGCATGCATCACAAACGCCTCTAGCCGGCGCAACAAACACGAGTTTAAATTGCCGTTTAGTGTGCTGTTCTGTGCTTCTGAATCGCCCACCAGCGTGATGAATAGGGGGTGGAGCTGACATCACGACGTGTTTTACAGTGTACTAGATGATTGATGGTGCGCGTTGCTGCGCCCGTCTATTTTGATTCTTAGTTATTACTCCCTCCATTCCAAAATATAGTGCGCCCACGCTTCCTGAGGTCGAACTTTGACCATAAATTTAACGAACGAGACCGACTGCGGCGGGAGAAAAAGTTACATAATTAAAAACTTCTTTCGAATACGAATTCACTGATATAACTTTTGCCCCCGCTGCAATCGGTCTTGATAGTTAAATTTACGGTCAAAGTTAAAGCACGTGGATAAAGGAAGCACTACATTGTGGAATGGAGGGAGTATTAGGTTAGGGATGTAATGTGGTTTGTATATATTTGCTTGCATTGTTTTGAAATATTATGATTTCCTATAATTTGTATTTTTCATTATTTAAAAAAGTAATGGTATGTAAGTAAAGAGAGAAATCTAATTGTACATGTAGCTCGTATGTAGCTCATCTTCACTTGGGGATACATTACAACTTCCATGTGAACATAAGGTTACATATAATTACTAGCAAAAGAGCCCGTGCGTTGCAACGGGAGAAGAAAATATCACACTGCCCTAACCCAATAACCATAACATGGGTTGTATGCGACATTTCCTAAACCTAGACCTATTTCCAAATCATCCCTAACCCTCACTATCTCATATACTTTTTCTTTTTTCCTTTTAAACCCGTGTGTTGCAACGGGAGAAAAAACTATCTCACGATGTTTGATATTGAGCATTTGTTCCTACTGAGACCAAACAGGGAGATATCATTTCTATCGACCAAGAGTATATTTGCAATATTACATAAAATGCAATCATTCTAGCAGAAATAACACCACCATTACAAAAAAAAAAGATTGTAGATTTGTCAATTATTCTAGCATTGGCCCATTATGCTACTATGGATAGACCGGGGCATCATTTGTGATTAATCACTGGGACATTCATTGTGTTTTATAATGCTAATGCAAGTAGAAAATGGACGGAAACCAAATATTAGATTTTCTTTCTGTCCGAAAAATGTCTCCTTGGTAATTCTGTAATTGTGCACACACCCCAAGTTTCATTAGGAGAAAACAGAATGAACCTACAGTACATACACTATCTCCCCAAAATCCATAGGCTCCAGGAGTTATGTATTACATTTATTATACAAAGAAAATGAAAATCCGACAAACCCACTTCTGGAGGCCAAGCACCAATGAACATCACCGTCGTATTTTTTTTTGTTGGGTAGTGGGGCAGAATTATGATTGAGATGTGATGTACCTGCTAAAGGAACTGGAACCAACTCATCAATCTGCAAACTACCATTTGCCAGAATGCTAGAGAAATGATCTGCATTTCAAGATACAATGCAGAAGTGTAGACTGTTAGGACTTCTACAGTTTTTGTTAAAAAAAGTATGTTGGGACATAGCAAGTTGAAATCGTCCGACATATAAACAGTCAGTTAGGATCAACGGCATAATACTTTTTTACGAGGTTCATATAAAAGCAGCTATCTAGAATCCCACTCCAAAAAATTATGTAGAGCCAATGGGGGTCCAAACAAAGAACCTCATATGTGCTAATAAATTTTGACAAACTTATATCCGTACTAATAACCTTTCCAGACAGTACTAAAAAAGAACTAGGAAATTGCCCCCATTGAATGATGAAAAACAAATGGAAGATAATAGGTTGTTCATATGCACCTGACTTTCCACCAAAACCAAACGTCAACCATCCTCGTCAGCTTCAAGTTCTGTTGTAATACCGATTCCTTTGCACCAATAATCTAATCTCTACCACGTAATTGACAGGTTTTATCTCCCTGAAAACATCATTTGAATAAATTGGCTTTAGTTAGTATGTTTATTTTTTCAAAACCAGCAATGAAAAACTTTAATTTTCAGGGGAAGCTTCACTTTCCAAAGAAATTTATCTAGAAATTAATATTTCTCAAGTTCATTCTCTTGTAGAGACAGCTAACAGAAAAAATCCCATCAGAAGTATAATTGAATCTTTATCAATGCAGAAATTGACACCTTCACAAGTAGCTTGGAGGCTGTTTCTCAATTTTAAAATATCGCACCAATGTGTCCATGTACTTTGCACCGACTCCCATCCATTTTTAAGAATCTCAGCAACAGAGAGACCTTTGCTAAAGTAAATGTTGTGCAGCCTAAGGATAAGACGGAGTAAAAGGTTCACAATCCATAAACCTTCCATGTAGATACAACCAATTTACAAGCCCATAAATCAAGTCCTTTTATTTGTTTGCTATAGGTGGAAGAGCCTGGGGTTCTATCAGTGACAAGATGGGGTTTCTGTCAATGACAAGATGAATGGCGGAGATGCCGGCAAGCAACATTGCAGTCAAATAAATGCTTTAAGCAATTACTGTGTCCCAATGCAAACTATGAAAAAATTTAGGGAACACTTGAACGGAAGTACGTATCACCCATCTCTTCTAAAAATTAAATGTTTCACCTATATTTCGTTCATTTGTTCAATCACATGCTATTGGATTCAAGCCACACACGGTAACCATAGTTGGCGACTGGTGCTAAATCATAAAATGAAAAAGATAACACAAGCATAATGATATTCACCTAATTCTGAGATCTCTATGAACATCATTTTGGTTTCTACATAATGTATTGTATATTATACCAGAGATTCAGGAAATAACCATAAATAATAAGCTTTGTAGCAAATTACTCTCCTTCCAACCATCCCGCCAGTACGCTTGCTCCCTTGCAGGCATTGACACAAGCACATGGGGATTGAATCAATCAGGCTAGTCAGTGAACCGGTTCAGCACTTGTCCGTTCAATGTATTTCTGTGTTCAAAATTTAGCATCAGACATAACGGGTATGTGTTGTAGGTACAAATAAAATTCAGAAAGAGTACCGGGCTTTGACTGAGCTGCTGCATGGTGCTTGCCGTCGAGTTGGTGCTTGAGTTTGAGAGTAAGAGGGGAGGGCAGGGAAGAGGCAGGAAAGTACGGACCTGACGGACACATCAAACAGCTTGGCCTCCAGGCAGTCATCGTGCTCCTCAAAGGCAGTGCAGAGGCGTCACACAAGAGTGCCCAGGGACTCCCACATCTTCCCTGCCCTGCCGGCGGCGAGGGGCATCCCGCCCGCAAGCACCATGGTCTTGTCGAACTGGTCCATGGCCGCTGCCCATGGCGTGCAAGCGGTTGACTGCGGGGCTGCAGCAGATGGCGCTGGAGACGTGCAACAACGGTGCTGCAAAGGCGAGGTGGGGAGACGCGGGAGGAGGCACAGGGGACGACGGTCGGGAACTGCGCAAGAGGCCGGTCGCGGCGCCGGTCGGACATCGATCACGCGGCTCGACAAAAGGCGGCCATGGCTCCGGAGCACGTGTGCACAGTGTAATCGGGGCGGCGCAGAACGAGGAGATTGAGGAGGAGGCCCGGCGCTCGCGCCACGGACGATCGGTGACGGATCGGATCTGGGTGGAAGGAGAGGCCATGGATCGAGGCCAGCTCGGGAGGTTGCGAATGAACAACAGATGGAGAGAGAAGAAAAGATCGTGCTATTAGTACCACCTCCTTTATATTACGATTTTGTCTATACGAATCGTAAAAGCATATTACGACTATGTGAAAGCGTATTATGACGGTGAATCCGACAAAGTCAATTCATGCTTTATTATTAGGGAGAAATTGGCAGTGCCATAAGCCAATCTATCCATGGTAAAAAAAATGACTATGCATAGTTTGGTTAGCATACAAGTTTGTTTGCAGTTGCATATGAATATGGAATTAAACACAATATAAAATTGCAATGTATAAAGATAGAAGAAAGCGGCATGGCAGTAAATAATTTGAAAATATATTGTATTGCAGCATAGAGCGAATTGGAGAAGATGCAGACCTCAAATAGGAACCAGA